ATTATGGCCATAAGTCGACTTAACATACATCTAAACGAGTTTAATAATCCTATTATTTGCAATTATAAATTTAGCTGGATCAACACATCCTAAATATTATCTTCTCAATAAATTTCAGAGTGTTTCATCTAAAGTAAAAGAATTAAATCACTTACCGAGATGCTCGACAGGAACCACTAATAAAATAATTAATTAAACACTTGCTCACCTCACGGTCACTCCCGACTAATCCCGTCTAACATCCATATTGGCTATTTATAGACATTTTTGTTTACCAATGTGTATGTGTTAATAATGATATACATTAGTGTGCGTAAATCAAAGCTATCGTTTTGAGTTGATGAATTCTATGAAATAAGATTGAAACATTTTTTATTTAATATTATTTTTGTATTGTTTTTACGTAAAATTATTTAATATATCTTATTTATTAAACCATATAATGTTTCTATTTATAATTATTTATTTTTTAAATAATCTAGTTTATAGAAATTAAATCAATGTTTAGTTAGTGAATTAAAGTCCTAAAATGAATTGTTTTTAAAATCTAATACAATTTTTGAACTAAATATTTATAATATACTTATGGGTATAGGTGAACCGTCACAATCTAGACCCAAGTTAAGCTAACTAAAGCTTGTGTTATGGGTACCAGACAACTGATATACATATGTAGATTTATTTTTCGCACATATAACATCCAGACCGATACAAACAATCATACTCATGAATACAAATGTTTGTGCTATGACAATTATCGACCATTGACCATCGACATGGCAACATACCGATTTTGACGGGACCAAAAAAAGTCCCGTCAAAATCGGTATGTTGCCATTTCCTCTCCTTAAGAGGGGAGATGACAATTTTTGAAAAAAAAAAAATAATCTCAGGACAATTCACACAGCGCCATCTAGACCCAAGTTAAGCTAGCTAAAGCTTGTGTTATGGGTACCAGACAACTGATATATATACGTAGATTTATTTTTCGCACATATAACATCCAGACCGATACAAACAATCATACTCATGAATTCAAATGTTTGTGCTATGATCATTATCGACCATCGGACGTAAAGGGGTGTTAAACCGTGAGGCCAGCGACGTCGTCATATACAATATAATAATGGGTTTAGGATGTTGTTTGGGCTCCCTCGATTTTGTAGCGCATCAGAGAGGTTTGCAGCAGCGCGGGTAGATGGTTTTGAAGCCATCATGAGAAATAGAACTGCATCACTGATGTGTAGAATTTGGGGGAGCGCAAACAACCTCCTAAACACCATATCCAATATGTCGGACTGTCCGCTTCAGGGGCACTGGATATCGCTGCATTGCTGCGGACCCAGGGCCTCTGGACGTGGACAGATACATAAATATATGAATTAAATATATAAAATTGTAAATTACTAACATAGTTAATGAGTTTCTTACTAACATAATATGGATGGATAAATATCCGAAATAAATGAAATAATAATATACATTCTATACTAGGTACATTATCCGGCGCTCGTTGTCTTGTCGACTTGGTTTGTTGCTATTAAGGCAGAATGTCTCTTACCTCTTGTGGACTTTAACTTTATTTTTCTAAAATAAATGTAGCGTAAGTTACTACTTATTACAGGGGGGAAAGGATTGTTAGTAATGGGAACTAGTAAGCGCCATTGCTAGCAATGTACCATGTTAGGTCGACCTCCACGGGGTTCTTCCTATCGAGCGAAACCATCGTGATAAATTTCTAGTGAGTTTGTCACGATGTGCTAACTGATCTGACTTCATGCTCATCTTATCATCCTCCACTGGTGCCTCGCCAGCGTAAACCGTTAGCGCAGGCGGGAGCACCATTCCATTATCATCCACAAAATAAAAGGTACATCAGCTACCTGCCAAAAAAGTCCCATCAAAATCGGTCCAGCCATTCCAGAGATTAACCGGAACAAACAGACAGACAGACAAAAATAAAAAAAATGTTATTTTGGTGTATGTACCGTATTTATATTCATATGCATGTAGTAAAAAACGGTTATTTCAATATTACAAACAGACACTCCAATTTCATTTATATATATAGATGTATAGATTACTATTGTACCGTGCGGAAAGGCTAAACCACTAAACCATCGAGGTTGTCAAATTATTAATATAGAAGTCACTACATAATATAAAACAAAGTCGCTGTCGCTGTCCGTCCCTATGTATGCTTAAATCTTTAAAACGGATACGCAACGGATTTTGAAGTAGTTTTTAATAGATTAATTTGTTGATACCAAGTATCCAATGCCGCAACAAACATGAACTATCGACCAAAAGACTAAATAAAAAAAAATAAAAATAAATATGGCGGGCATGAAATGTCAAAAATTTGCCAACTAAGTTTCTATATGTATTTCCATATATAAAGCAATAGTTCTTAAAAACTATTTAACACAAAGTCCAGTGCAGTAGTGTCTAAACTAGACCAGGCCTGTACCTCAGACACCAGCTACTAATATAATTGATATAACTACAATTTACCTCTCTAATACAATAATAATAATATTGCAAAATAATATATTGATTTTATTGCAAACCGTACCAATGATATACATATATATTTGTAAGTAACCGAAACTTAGTATGTAATTAGAGTGATTCAAGAGGAAGGTTTATATATATAATACATGTACACCCGAGCGAAGCCGGGGCGAGTAGTAAACAATAAAACAACATATAACATAATTGTATTCAGGATCATTTTATTAAAATTATATTTACAAAATCGTAAATTTTGATAACTCATTTCTACATACCTATGGCAATACAGTATCTAGACTAATTGTCTATGGTGTGACGTGCGAGAGGGACGCAGTACATACAGTTAAAAACTATTACAATTCGAGTTTCGTTACTAGGTTTAATAATGCAAAAATATATCGTACCGAAACCAGCAATTTATACTAAGCTAACTCGAATTTTTAGTAAATTAGCTTCTATATGCTAAACTGTTTAAAATGGTGTTTTTTATATATATAATAACAATAAAAAAAATATTAAGAAATATATAAAAATAACGAAGTTACTGAAAATTCGAGTTAGTATAAATTGCTGGTTTCGGTATCTTCTTATGCATACATTGATGTTGTATTGAGGTGAATTTAAAAATACAATGTCCAAATACATTAGGGCACTAGTGTGTTCCGTCTCTCTCGCACCTCAGACCCCGTACAATGCTTTACAACCTTGTGTACGTCTGTACCGATAAACAATAACCGCTTATTTGGTGCTTACATTACTATGGTACATTTCCTTTAGGTAAAAACCTTTATAAAAGTTTCTATTGTTATTCTAAGACATCTAGTCCGGAAAAGAGACTGTTTTGTCTCATTCTTTCCATATATTTTCCCAATTTGACAGAATGGGACAAAACACCAACAGTAACGTTTACTGATTCTCTGTTGACGAATACCAATAACAAACTAAACAGAGTCTTTACTATTGGGTGTTTTGTCCCGTTCTATCAAATTGGGAAGATATATGGAAAGAATGAGACAAAACAGTCCAATATCTAAAACAAATTTATTATACCGTGTCTTTACAATTATATACATATTAAAACAAACAATAGTGCGCACCAAACGTAGCGTTACCCGACTGCGTCCACAGAATAGTGTAATGTAACCAACACTTGACTTAAAACTAATTATTTACAATTATCTAACCTTTTCTAAATATTACTAAAATGGAATTAACACCTATACTTCATTTTGGAATAAATATCATACCTATTATACAGATATGCGCCGAAATGTCAGAAATTACTATACAATATATTTATATATACATTTTCATATTAACACATATTGACTAATCACGTGATACCGTCCACAAGACTCACCTTACTGTAAAGCTAATTAAAGTTTGCCAGCGAATGTGCATGCGAGATACGACTTTAAGTTAACGGCGTTAAAATTCGAATTGGATTGTACCAATCATGTTCACCCATTTCATCTACAGTCCTTACTGATACAGTAATTGATTGGAACTTTACTGATGGGCGACTGATTTTGCTAATGTCAGTTAAATTCGTGGCTTGTGAATGAATAAAACTTGACACTTGAAATGTCAAAACATGACATTTCAAGTGTCAAGTTTTGTCAATTGAAATTGCAAATGTCAAAATGACATTTTTGTCATAATTTTATAAGAACTTTATAATCTGAATTTAATTGTATTGATAAATATATTGAAGGAATTAAATTGATATAGTGTTACAAACAGACAGGCAAGCAGCATAGTATCGACTTCACTGACGAGTTTAAAGCCATCAATAGTAAACATAGAAATGATATATATTTCACATGTTACTTGTATTTCAAACTTGTTATGTTCAATATTAATTAAAAAATCAACGTCAGTACCTATATATTGCAATATTTACAGCAACCCAGAATAACATGTGAATTACATACATTTCTATATATGAACGTGTCACATTGTCATACAATCGAAATAGTATCACTATTTCTTAATTATTGCTAATAAATTTTTATTAAAACATATTATATATAGAGAAATTTACATACAATTGTATATAGGAATGGACGTTTCAAATATATCAATTAATAAATGCACATAATATGTTGGTTTCTTTAAAAAACTGTAATTTGATTGTAACATAGTAAAAAGCTAAATGGTTGAAGTTGATGGAAACGAGTGGAGACTGTTTACGGAAATCTACGGCATATCTAAATGGAGCTGATGGCACGATGTTGTTAGGACCTATCTAAAAAATACAACTTAATCATGTTCAGCTCTATGGATTTACAATTTAGTTATTTTGTTTTATAAAGCACTGCATGTTATTGTTGTAAATACACAAAACCTGGCAGGTAAAATAGGTCCACTGAAATGTTTGGTGCGTTATATGACGGGATAGAAAAGTGGAAAGGAAAGGACTTTTCTAGCTGTGGGATCATTGTATGGTGGTTGTACTACCCCTTGGATTTGATTTGGTGTGTTACACCCCAGATGGCAACTTTAGTCGAATCCTAACTTACTACGTGTCAAATATACAATTTTGTAATGAAATCAGGAATCATAGGAATACTATATTGACGTTAGTTTTTTGGTATTCAATTGACGTTACTGTGACAGCTGTCAAAATGGGAATGTCAAAATGTCAGTGACTGTACGAGTACTTTGACATTCAATCTTGACAGCCGTCCAGTATAAGAACCTGGTCGTAGACGTAGCAAACGGCGAGTTACAACATTTTTCAATGTGAAAAATGTTTAATAACCCTTTGGATATATTATATCACGACTTACGAAATATCTAGAACCAGTACATGTTTTGGTATGAAAGAGTCAATGTCAACTTACACTGTCAAACTCGTTATCAGCTGTTGACAGAGTTTGCCGTACTCCCTCTGATCTCCCGATATCCGCCTCATTTTGAGACCTTTCTTCTCTTTCAACTTGTTCTCACAAACCACCAACTCGATCTGGATTCCGCCGGAATATTCCAGATTTAGGAATCCCGTTAACGCCTCTGTGTCGTCGCTGTCTTTTTGGTCGTTCGTTTCTACGAATATATTCTGTGGCGGGACCCTTGTATTGATCGCGTCTTTTAACAATTCTACAATTCTCTGCGAGTCCAACTTCGAGCAGACCGTCGACAAACTGACTTCGTAATACTCCTGCATGCAGGAAACCTTCTGTGGACTGAGCAGAATGGGGATTTTCTGCTCTTCGGGTCTACAAACATCAGTCAAACGCAGATCCATAGTGGAACGCTGCAGTTTGTCAATGTCTTCGTTCTCCTGGCCTTCCTCGTCGCATTTTTCTAAACAATGCCTGCTGCTGTCTCTAGGCATATATACATCTTCGTAGTATTCTCTAACTTCGCCTAGAGTCCCCTGAGCGGAGAATGAAGACCTAGGAGTTTCGCCTTTCTCCGAGAAACTTCCGCGGCCGAAATCGCTCCGCTCCGAAAATGACGACCTTCCGTATTCGCCTCTCTCTGAAAAACTGCCCCGATCTGAAAAGGAGAACGATTCTCGATGTTCTGAAAAACTGCCTCGATTTTCGCTAAAACCCGAACTGATCGAGACGATGTTGGAGTATATCGACTGGACGTTGTGCTCGCAGTTGGGCGACGCATTAGCCGAGTCGTTACTCAAAGAATCGTCACTGAATCCGAGCGACTTGTCGCTCCCCCGTCTCGGGTACTTAAGCTCTTCAGTCAAGAACCTGGTGCCTTCATCCTCTTTGGGAGACTGCATTTCCGTGTCCTTTTCTGACTCAATATCTTTGGGTACTTCGATAGGGGGTGGCGGTTCCGTCTCTTGGCTCACTTTCCTGCCGATACCTTTAGTGATCGACGGCCGATCGTCCAGATCTGAAGGTTCAGATATGACGAACTGAGGTAAGGAATATTTCATATTATTTTCTAGACTATCCATGCTGTCTTCCGACGAAGAAGCGACTAACGTGATCTCCGACCCTAAGCAATCCGTCAGACTTATTTGCGGATGAGTGGACACATAATTCTGGAACTGTACGTTCCTGGTGTCCTGGAAATTTCTAACGTCAATACTTCCATTGCCTATTTCCTCCTGAATCATGTCTAGAGGAGACCCTGGGTTTGAAATGGGGGAGTTGTTCAGAGATCTGTGCGTGACCATGTGGATCTGAGGATGTACCATAGGATGTAATTGAGGGTAGGCCTGACCTGTGTCCATTTCGACGTTGCTGCGAAGGTCTAGGGGTGTCGCGCTAGGTTGGGGGGTGCCTCTAGTGATGGACCCCGTGTGGAGGTAGCTTAGGCCTTCGGTGATCTGGTGGAGCGGCGAGCCCGGACTGGCCGGCGACGTATGGCCGGACAGTAACGCGTAGCCGCCGAACGACAACGCCTTCAGGATCTCCTGCGAGATGTTCACGTGCGGCAAGTACAGCGTGTGAAGGTTTATGCCCAGCTTCAGCGCCGTTTCCTAGAAAAATACAATATTAATAAGTTTTCTGGAGTACTTTAATCAACAGTTAAATTACATCGATTGAAATGAACGTTTCCAAATTGACGTCCTTACTTAATAATTGATAAAAAAGATTTAGTGTTGAATTTATGAAAATTGGCGCTTTTGCATGATACTGATGAAATCAGTCATCATCAAGCCACAATCAGAAATGGTATCCAATGTACATGACAATTACAGCTATCAGTAAAATTATCAAAGGATCATCCTTTGATGATTGTATTGTGCTAGATTTTTTTTTGTATATCTGATGGTAAATGGTTACCGTAGATTATGGACGTCTGACGTTGTCGACCCTTAAGAAACCTTAATACACTCTTTTAGAAAACTTCTTGAAAAACCCCATGCTCTAAGTGCGTGAACAAAATCCTCTGAAACCGCACTGTCCGAGAGCACTTCGGTTCTAGCGTGTGGGGATGAATTCCCTGTCGATGACTTGTAGTTGTATACCTAATAGTTCGTTAATATTTATAGTATAAACAGCATTACAAATTTTTTTGGTTCTTCGAGCCGGGTACTAGTGAGGCCGGATATCTTATTTTTTTGGTCCTTCGAGCCGGAAAATTGCGAGGACAGTGGTACAGGGTTGGGAGGGTTTTGGTTGTGGGGTGATGTCGGTACCTGCGTGAGGAGGCCGGCTCGCAGCAGTTCTCTGTCGGGGCAGCAGGCCAGCAGCGCGCGCGCCGCCTCCGCAGACAGCGCCGACAGCTCCAGAGGTGGCGGACCACCCCCGCCACCCCCGCCGCCACCGCCGCACACGTGCGCCGGCGACCCTGTATACCATACTTTACACGTTCACTATGTAACTTATTTTATTTAAAAGAGCAAAACAAAAAATTTTTGTTCATTCTTCTTGTGATGGGGGTGTGTGGGGCACTGTGGGAGTGTACTGACCCGGCATGCTGCCGACGGGCGTGTGCAGCCGCGAGTCAGTACACGGGGGTGTGTGGGGCACTGTGGGGGTGTACTGACCCGGCATGCTGCTGACGGGCGTGTGCAGCCGCGAGTCAGTACACGGGGGTGTGCAGCCGCGAGTCAGTACACGGGGGTGTGTGGGGCACTGTGGGGGTGTACTGACCCGGCATGGTGTGTGGCCGCGAGTCAGTACACGGGGGTGTGTGGGGCACTGTGGGGGTGTACTGACCCGGTATGCTGCCGACGGGCGTGTGCAGCCGCGAGTCAGTACACGGGGGTGTGTGGGGCACTGTGGGGCACTGTGGGGGTGTACTGACCCGGCATGCTGCCGACGGGCGTGTGCAGCCGCGAGTCAGTACACGGGGGTGTGTGGGGCACTGTGGGGGTGTACTGACCCGGCATGCTGCCGACGGGCGTGTGCAGCCGCGAGTCAGTACACGGGGGTGTGTGGGGCACTGTGGGGGTGTACTGACCCGGCATGCTGCCGACGGGCGTGTGCAGCCGCGAGTCCAGCGGCGGGGAGGCCCCCGCAGCGCCCCCACTTCCTCCACCTCCACTCCGTCGCTCCAGGCCTCGCTGTGGACGGATAAAACATCACATTGAAACTCTTTCTTGATTCGAAGACACAATATATAAATGTTCAATTAATGTACTAACTAATTACATATTTTCTACACGTGCCAAATTTACTCCTTGCAACTTCCTAGAACTCTCATCGCATGGCACGTGTAACATTATCAACGCAGCTGCGCGACCTTCGAGCCGTTGCTACGTGCAGCAGCACGTGTACACGACCATATAAGGCCGAAATATCCCCTCAATGAAAAACACTTCTATTGTGTTTCTCTACTGTATCATTTCAAGCTTCCAGTTTCTCGACGAAGTAGGTCCTAGACCTAAACCGTAAAGGGCCGTGTACACTTACCCGCTTAACACGTTAAACGGCATTGCAAAAATGACAAAAATACTTTTTTTTTGTATGAAAAAAAGATCTTTTTATGACATCGGTAAACATTAACACGTATTTTGATGAAATGGATGGATTGAAATTTTCTAGGAAAATAAAGAAAATTCATTTCGGTCACCAGTGACTACTGTGGCGCTGTGGGACAAACACATTTTCTATTCGCATGCGCCGAGAGGTCATTTTAGTACTACAAATGTATGAAAATTTCACAAAATTTTAAAAACATCTCAAACACAAAATGAGTCGAGACACGGGTGACCTACGCGGCGCAAAGATCCAGATATTATGAGCTCACCGGTGACCTACAAGACGCTAGATGTGTTAAAGGATATTAGACAAAAATGCGAGTTAACTTTATAACAGAACTATACCAAACTTCTTGGCCAGCTCGGTATTAGCAGACTATATAATCGGGAGAAGCTTGTGGTGTGTACGTTACCTGAGACACTCTTAGTGGTAGCTGCTGAAGGCGTGATCTGATGCGGGAAAGGAGGTGGATGATGGGAGTGGTACCGACCTGCAGCTGCTGGTACTCGAGCCGCGCGGAGGCCAGGTCGTGCAGCGCGCGTGGTGGAGAGCTCTCTGCTCGTCGGACGGGAGAGTACCGCTCGGCATGCTCGCGCGCTGCGGGGGAATGTACTAGTTACACACACGGTCACCACTCACCACTCCTCCACTTGATTTACATCTATTTCATCCCACTAGTGTAATCATTACATAGTATAAAACAAAGTCGCTGTCGCTGTCTGTCTCATATGTATGCTTACATCTTTAAAACTACGCAACGGATTTTGATGCGGTTTTTTAATAGATAGAGTGATTCAAGAGGAAGGTGTATATATATATATATAATACATGTACATCCGTGCAAAGTCGGAGCGAATTTATTGCAATTTTTTTTTCTTTTGCGAGAAATCTTTATCTTTCATAAGGGCCCCCTCACAATGTTTTATACGGGGCCCCGCCAAGGCACGCCACGCTTCTGACTAACATCTTGTCTAGTCATTACATATAAGATCACTCTAGCTATCTGTCCCTATGTATGCTTAAATCTTTAAAACTACGCAACGGATTTTGAAGCGGTTAAGATAGAGTGATTCAAGAGGAAGGTTTATATATATAATCCGTGCGAGGCCGGGTCGAATAGCTAGTGTTACACAAAAAAAATGCATTGATAGTAAATCAGCCACGCGCGAAATAACTAATTCAACACTTCTTACTCCTTTAAGATTAGAAGTGACAGTTAAACATAAAATGATAAAACTAATTTCTACGACACATATAGCATCTCTATATTCGTTATACTACGATTAATATCACAAAACAAAGCACACCAAGTGGGACTTAACTGAATAAAAAGAACAAAAAATTTCATGCACGAAAATATCCCACATATAGTCAAGTTATGTATTTCTAATATAAAAAAAAAAACTACACACCACAAGTGCACACTACATAAATGCTAATAACACGCACACACATACAAACATAAAATGTGTAGTTAATGATATTATGTGTACTTACTTTAATTCACAAAACATACCTTTGAAGAAAACAATTTTAACAAATCGTGTTTCGACTCTTTAAAATTACGAATGCAGGTTGAAAGAAAGAGACGGAACATAACCTCAAAAATCGTTTACTAGATGGTTTATCTAAATATATATAACTCAAAGCTGACTGACATAGTGATCTATCAACGCACAGCCCAAACCACTGAACGGATCGGGCTGAAATTTGGTATGCAGGTAGATGTTATGACGTAGGCATCAGCTAAGAAAGGATTTTGATTAATTCTACCCCTCAAGGGCATAAAATAGGGGATGAAAGTTTGTATGAAACTTTGTAAATTTTAAACCGATCGGGCTGAGATTTTGAATGCATAAAGCTACTATAACGTAGGCATCCCCATAGAAAGGATTTTGATAAATTCCCCCCCTAAGGGGATAAATTAACGCGAGCGAAGCCGCGTGCAAAAGCTAGTAGGTTTATAAACTTGTGAAAAAGCATCTCACGTAAAAATGGCCGCCACCAATCATCCACATCGCCAATATAATGATGTTACAAACCTGGGACTACCTCGAAAGAAATATCATAATTGTACTAGTAGTCTTGAATGTACGCAAAAAACTTGACCACTGAGGTTAGTAATGACCACGTTACTAGTTCTAAAAATAATAATTGAAATAAGTAATGAAGTAAATGAATACAAAGCTTTATGAACATTTTAAACCGTAACTCCGTGTTAATTCCCGCGTACCGTAGCCGTGAAAATAAAAAAAAAGAACAAAAAATTACCCATTTCCTGTACAGTCGCTAGCATTTGTAGTTTGACTCTCTGAGGTCCGGAATACTTCCGCTGCCGAGTGTACTGACTTTGGTTATAACTGGTGCTGGGCGTCTGGAACGAGGGTCCGCTGGCAACCGGGGTACCACTCGTTATAGATCCTTGGCCTTGATATGTATTCATTGGGGTACCGGTGGTTATCGAACCAAAATTAGGCGCGGTCCCAAAACTAGTGTTGGCTCCTACATTGATTGCTGGGGTAATAGTTCCAAAGCTGGTGCTGGCACCAAAATTAGTATTTGGATTCATGGGGGTACCAGACATTATGGATCCTTGATTTTGTGCAGCCATTGGGGTACCAGACATTATTTGTCCTTGATTTTGACCACTTATTGGTATTCCTGATACTATAGAGCCTTGTGTTTGGTTGCTTATAGGGATCCCTGACATAATAGACCCTTGAGTTGGAGTGTTCATCGGTGTGCCAGACATAATCGATCCTTGATTTGGGGTACCAGATAAAATTGAACCTTGTGGTTGGCTCATCGGCATTCCAGGGATAATTGATGATTGATGTGGGGGATTCATCTGGACTGTCATTGGTCCTGGGGTTTGTTGACCCATCGGGGTCCCCGTCATTATTGATCCTGGGTTTTGGGTCAAAGTGCCACTCATAATGGCACCGGGGGCCATACTTTGCGCACCGGGACTTGAATACTGTCCTAATAGCGTTTGACTAGCGATTGGGGTACCTCCCATTATATTGCCTTGTGGTATCGTTTCTAAAACCGGCTTTAGACTGATCTGGTTTTGATTTTGATAATTTGGGGTCCCGGCTGTTATGGACCCCTGTGTGGGGCTCGGGGGCACGCTTTGCGCCCCCGTCGGGGTGGGTGGACCTTGGTATTGACCTTGTATGGAGGGAGGCAGGTAATTCCTCTTCATTCGGGCCTCGACCTCCATTACTAACTCCGGACTTATAACTAAAAATTAATGTGTCAAAAAAATAACATTAGCAAAAAAAAAGAATGCAGTTTAGCGGCATGCTGCTATACACTACTTAATAAAAAATCAAACAGAAAAATAAAACACTAAATCCGAATTAGCGAATGCATATTTAAGAATATTACAGACAGTGGATGATATGTTATCGTTTGGTGAACAGGCGCAAAATCTATTAAAACTGTTCAAGCTTATTGAATTAAGTAACATTTGGCAAGACATCTAGGCCCGCAGTATTCAGGCCCCCCTTGTGACCCGACATGATCTATTATTTATTATTGAATATTTTTTTGTCAACATACTTCAGAGTGCATATACATACATACATATATAACATAGAATCTTATCACTGGATCTGCAATTTGTCGGATTACAAGATACTCTTTTGTAAAAAATTCCGGACTATACGCAGAGGACCCTTAACAACTTGTCTAGTCATTACATATAAGATCGCTCTCGCTATCTGTCCCTATGTATGCTTAAATTGACAAGACATCTAGGCTTATAGTCTTCCTACATAAACTTACAAATATAATAGTGGACCCGCGGTAATCCAGCCCCCCTTGTAACCCGACATGGTCTATTATTTATTATTGAATATTTTTTTGTCAACATACTTCATAGTGCATATACATACACACATATATATGTAACATAGAATATTATGACTGGATCTGTAATTTGTCGGATTACAAGATACTCTTTTGTAAAAAATTCCGGACTATAGCGGACCTTTAAGCAGCACTCTATAATCCGACAATTTCGATAGTCCGACACTGCCCTGCAAAACGTTTGTCGGATAACCGGGGGTCCGCTGTATATATACAGTGGACCCCCGGTAGTCCGACAATCATTTTGCAGGGCAGTGTCGGACTATCGAATTTGTCGGATTATAGAGTACTGCCTAAGACCCCTTATAGTCCAAATTTTTTTTATAAAAGAGTACCTTGTAATCCGACAAATTATAGATCCAATGATGATTCTTTATATTATATACATATACAGTGGACCCCCGGTTATCCGACAAACGTTTTTCATACCATCGTATCTGTCGGATTATATTAGTCCGTATATAATCCGACAAATTACAGATCCAGTGATAAGATTCTATGTTATATATATGTATATATGCACTCTGAAGTATATTGTCAAAGTAATATTCAATAACAAATAATAGACAATGTTACAAGGGGGGCCGGATTAGACAGGGGCCGGATTACCGCGGGTCCACTGTAATTATATTTGTATATAATTAATTAATTATAATTATATAATGAATACTGTATATATTAGCTAGCACATTTTACCAAATAAATCTTTGAAAATCTCATTAAATCCTTTGACATTTGAGGTTTATGAATCGTTAAATATACTTAGTAATAGTTAACTAACAGCGTTCCTTACTTAATATATGAAAACTCCAGAAAATGTATCCCAAAAGCCTGTATTTATAGCATTTAGTAAACACATATTGTTCAGGCATGTTAACATGAGTAAGCAAATGTATAAGATAAGTATCTTATATATCTATTTATATTCTTATAATATGCAAACGCAGTTCTGAAGCAATAAAAATGTAGCAAAAACTTTCTATTTTAACAATAAAATTTAATCTAAAAGAGTAGAGCATAAGTTATTAAAGCATACGGGACAAAACAGAATGCGGAACTCTTTATCGAATACCATATTTCGGAATTGAAGGTTATTCTTGTATGTTATTTTATTGTAGACATCATAAATAAACACACCGCTTTACGTCCGATGGTCGCGGGTTCGATTCCTCGCACGGCACAAACATTAATTTTTCTATTTAATTAACGACATGTAGGTGCGAGCTACGTTGTACGGTTGGTAACGCAACTATTGATTGGATCGTACCAGCAAAACGATATTACAGTTTTTATTCGTTATTATTGAGAATAGTTACACTGTTACATCATGAGGCTCCTAATGTTTTAACAATTGAAATGTTTTTGTATTTTTTAGATAACGTATTTTCTTATTTATCTAATTATTTAAATAGAATACAAATAATTTATTCAAATAAACTTACATTGAAGCTCTTTTGAATACTCATCACATTTTTTAATCTACCGCTCATTCGAAAAGCTGTCTCATCACATGAAGAACGAGCAAGAAACTTGCGTGTTGCTCTTTTAAATAATTTTATTATTACTTTACATTTTTAAGTGTGTGAATACAAACCACCAATTAGCACTAATTCAATTAAATACTCAAATAGAAAAAATATAGAATATATAACCAACTGGTTAAACAATTAATAAGAGGAAATCAGTCGTAGTGATTAGAGCAGACCAGTCCCTACAAGCAGCACCCGTTCTCGAGTATGACGAGTATGACTAGGTTTTCATTGAGGGAAAGGGGAGGACATACACTCCCACCTTCGACATAAATATTTAGTTATAGTTCTAAGCGCAGTATTAGTAAAAAAAAATATGTTAACAATCTAATTTAAAAAAATCAACCTTGAGATCGCATTATACAACTATATATTTTGGAAAAAAAACCCCCAAAATCAACTTAGATTATAAAAAAAACTATAAATTTGTGAAAATGTTTGATAATACCTGTATTTTACTAGTATGGCTGTTATCGTGACACTACTCCACTTTGTAAAATATTTGTAATATATTTGGGTTGCAATAAAGAAATTTAATTATTATCAACCTTCACTACAGATCATCATCATCTGCTTCTTCCTTATCCCATTTATTTGTGGTCGTAATGTTTTTCTCTTCCATTCATCCCTGTTCGCAGTCATCTCGTTATTTACTCCCTTTATCATATCATCTTTCACACAGTCCATCCATCTCTATTTCGGCCTTCCTCTGCCCTTATAACCATCCACATTCATATGTAACACCTTTCTTAAAATATTATCCTCATTCCTACGCATTACATGTCCATACCATGATAGACGATTACTCTTCAACCTCTCCGACACCGGCGCCACTTTCATACTTCCTCTGATGTATTCATTCTTTATCTTATCCATTCTTGTCACACCACACATCCATCTCAACATTCGTGTTTCAGTTGCATGCAGTCTTTCATCCGTCGCCTTTACGGGCCAGCACTCTGATCCATACAAGACAGCAGGCCGGATCATGGTATTGTAAATGTTTCCCTTAAGCTTAAGGGGAAAACTCATCATTACACATCATACATTTTGAAAAAAATATCAAAAAAAAAACGGTTGCATGTTTAAAAATGAGTATTCATTATAGCTAGCAGCACAGAAAATTATGCTCTACTCTTCAGACAATAAACATCAAAATACGTGAGCGGAATGTAAGTGAGGCTGTTGCAGGGTAGGGTAGGGTAGGGGTGACTGACCTGGCGGCCGCTCGGTGACCGTGAGGAGGCCGGTCCTGCGCACGCGCAGGCTGCTGCTCGACGACGGCGACGTGCTCGGCTGAGAACAACCATCACTGTCACTATCTTGACGACCTCGGTGGTCTAGCGGTCTAGCACACCGCTTTACGTCCGATGGTCGCGGGTTCGATTCCTCGCACGGCACAAACATTTGTATTCATGAGTATAATTGTTTGTATCGATCTGGGTATTTTCTATGTATAATATGTACGTATTTATGACAAGAGCTATAATTCTTCATCGGATGACGAACTATCTAGTGACATGTTGCATGTGCAATGACCCAAACGAAACTAAACGCAGAATTTGCACGCCGCTTGTGTACGTTGGAACTCTTGGGCGGTCAACGGTCACTAGAACGCAGAACTCTGACCGCTCTCTGTGTGCGTGGGCTCTTAAGCCTAATTTACACTCAGCCCGAGTGGGCAGATACTTGAGCACGGTAGTGAACAGCGCGAGAGTGTAAACACGATACTTCCCATGCCACTCGCGCTGCCCGGCGCTCCCTCGATTGTAGGTTTTTCGTGCGCGAGTCAAAGGACTGGCAGCGCGAGTGGCAACGTGTGTTTACATTCAGCCTCGCTCAGTTGTCGCCCGGCAATATTTCCGGCAGCGCGAGTGGCAGGGGAAGCGGCTGAATGTAAACGTAACATTAATGGGAACATTGAATGACGATGGGTGTGTATAAGTGGAGAAACATACCATAGAGCCAGCACAGGAGGTGGCGACATTGGCGGCGTCCTCGGGCGTGGCCATCGTATGTCGCTTGCTGCTGCCGCGGTTCAGCATGTATCTGGTGACATTCAAAATAGAAATAGAAATAATCTTTATTCAAATAAACTTAATATAAGCACTTTTGAATAGTCATGTTTTTTTTATTCTACCGCTTATTCGGAATGCAGATTCATCACAAGAAGAATAAGCAAGAAACTTGTGTGTAATCTTTTAAATAAATATTGATTTACTTATATTTATTAACAACAAGGATTAGGCATGCGACAATCAACATAGAAACCGCTACGTACTTAATCTCTGTTCAATCAGATAACATTGTCAGCGTTATGAATTTTAAGTTAGATATTTTCTACAAAAACATTATTATCATTTAGAAATTATTCAATTTTATAATAAGCTTTTTTACAAAGAAAATATTTTATGACACATTTGAATTTTTTCTGGCAAATTAACTACAGAGTCTGGAAGTTTGTTGTAAAAACAAAAAACAAAACAACATTATGTACCTACCTAACGTCACGCTCTATACCTGTGTATCACTTTTTTAATAATGGCAACTCGGTTTTTTCTTTTTTATTGCCACCCTAGGTTCGTTTGACATTTGAACCGGCTGATGACTTAGACGCCATGATTGATCGTTGCGACCCAGTAAATGAGTGCAATTTAGCGTTTATTTTCCCTTCAATCTAATATTGTTATTGTTAAACTTATGCCTTCGACAATGTTTGAACATGTTTGCCTTCTCAGCTGGTTAATTTTTTTATACTCATAAATAGAATACACTTTTATTTAGATCTAAAATAATGATAATTTTAATAGATACAAGAAAAAAGGCAAATTAATTTCGAGTAAAAAATATAATATTTACATACAAATGAACTGTTGAACTGTGACTGGTAATCATTTGTCAATCGGTTGTGGTACGGACAGAAGCCAAAAGCTCTCGGTTCTCCTGTGAGAACCGAGAGCTTTTGGCCTCTGTCCGTACCACATCCTCACCACTGTAGCGTTATATATGATGTGATGAGGTGTCGCTACATAATACCTATATTGATTATCGTAATATTTAGGTCGTAAGTATACCAGTGAAATAATTGTACTATTTATTGTACGTTTGATGGCTGAATCGCTGCAGGATTTACAACAGATGCTGAACGGCCTGGCTGAATCGTCTCAACGCATCGGTCTTCGGATGAATTTGGTCAAAACCAAGATCATGTTCAATGATCGCATTCGTCCGGAACCGGTCGCCATTAATGGAGTATCTCTCGAAGTTGTTCAGGAGTATATTTATCTAAGGCAAACGCTCCAACTAGGTAAAAACAACTTTGAGAGGGAGGCCAAGAGACGAATACAGCTAGGCGGGGCGGCATTTGGGAAACTTCGTCAAGTCTTCTCGTCGTCGCTACCACAAGGCCTTAAGACCAAGGTTTATAACCAGTGCGTCCTACCCGTTATGACTTACGGTGCCGAAACGTGGACACTGACGATACGACTGGTCCACCAACTCAAAGTCGCTCAACGAGCTATGGAAAGAGCTATGCTTGGAGTTTCTCTGAGGGATAAAATCCGAAACGAAGTGATTCGCCAGAGAACTAAGGTCACCGACATAGCTCTTCGCATCTGTAAGTTGAAGTGGCAGTGGGCTGGTCATATCTGTCGCAGAATCGATACTCGCTGGAGTAGGCGTGTTCTAGAGTGGAGACCGCGAATTGGCAAACGTTGCTAGGTGGAGCGATGACTTACGTAGGGTTGCGGGTAGTAACTGGATGAGAAGGGCTGAAGATCGTGCCCAGTGGCGTGCCTTGGGAGAGGCTTATGTCCAGCAGTGGACTGCAGTGGACTGATGATGATGATGATTGTACGTTTAGTTGGTACTGTTGGCTTATTAGTACCGCGTACATTCGTCGCGTAGTCAGAACGTAGACTGAACTGTTATACACTTAACTTAAATCATAATTTAAATAGTACAGACTAAAGGTCTCAAGTGTTGACAGAAATAATACAAGTGTAGGCACATGTCTTTACACGCAATTCTTGCTTAAACATGTTCATACTTAGTCTCATTCGTAAAAGTTATTACGGAGATGTATAATGTAGTGTGTACAGTGTAGTGCGGTGTATAGAGAGTAGTGTGTGTGTCTAGTAGAGTGTACAGTTACCTGCAGAGCGTGGAGTCGTAGGCGGCGTCTGCGGCCTGCTCCTCGGCCTCCGCCGCCGGCCGGCCCGCACCACTGTCTGACACCTAACAGAATACACAAAATGAATAGGAATATCAAAACGGCACAGATACAACAAATAATTTAACTGTAACTGTGGAAGCTCGGGAGAAAAAAAATGTTGGTATATTACTAGCAAAATGTCAGATCAACATTTCAGTGTTTTGTCAGTGTTAACATTTCAGATCAGTGTTGTGTCACACAACACTGCGAGTAACGAGACCTAATGATAGACTATACACACCAATGTGTCGATTAGACTTACATAAGAGAAATGTATACTGTATGCCAATCAAAGTGTACAACAATCTTCCAAGAGAGATTAAAGAACTGGGGTCTCATACGTTATTCAAACGCAAACTAAAGAATTGTCTGTCACTTGGTAATTTTTACAGTGTCCAAGAATATTTGAGTGGCACAAGCGCCTTCACGTAATTTGCATGCCTGTATGGTAAATATTGCTGATCAATCAATTTCATGTGGCATCGTATTAATTATAGTACTGTACCAATATTTCGCAAATAAATTATTTCATGCTCCATTTATAGCATGGGTTCCAGGGAGTCTTTGCGAGAGTGCTTTAAGGAATCAAATATCCTCACCGTTGCTTCTCAATATATTTATGAAAACATCATGTATGCCAGGAAGAATATAGACAGTTTCAAAAGAGTTAGTGATTGCACTAATAAAAGCTTACGTAACAATAACAAACTGATTTTACCTAAATGTCGTTTGGCTAAAGTTAGTAATTCGTTTTATGGCAATTGCGTAAGGTTTTACAATAAAATACCAGAGTCTGTTATAAATCTGCCAGAAAAAAGATTTAAATGTCAAATAAAACACTTCCTTTGCAAAAAAGCTTACTATAAAATTGAAGAATTCGTTAACGATAATAATGTTTTTGTAGAAAAATTTTAAATACATAGCACTGACAATATTATCTGATTACACTAATAATGAGTGCGTAGCGATTTCTATGTTGATTGTCGCATGCCTCTTACTTGTTACACTGTAATTATTTATATAAAAAAAACATCTATCAAAAAGAGCAACACACAAGTTTCTTGCTCATTCTTCTTGTGATGAATCTGCATTCCGAATGAGTGGTAGAATCAACATATGACTATTCAAAAGTGCTTGTAATGAGTTTATTTGAATAAAGATTATTTCTATTCTATTTCTATTCATTTCATTTCATTTCATTTCAATCTTCCTTGGACGAGCATCCGGGTGGTTGCTCTTTTCAGCAGCAACGGTTGTAGATTCCCCATCTGACCGATCTCCCCTCCAATTTAAACGGGGATCGAAATTACGACCAGTCAACATTCGACCCCCTAAGGATCTCAGTCGCATCCCTCGGGCAGTTGACCTTCAGCCGCTCCATAAGTTTTTACGTCAGTTTGGACTGCCATTTGCATTCGTTCAGTTTTTTTTTTATTATTTTATTATTTCGGACTACTCTAATGCTGTTTTTTTTCGGACTACTGTAATGCTTTGGCCTTTTTACTGCCATTTGCACTCGTTCAGTTTTTTTCGGACTACTCTAATGCTGTTGTCCGCAGCTGGCCTTTACAGCTTCACCGGACGTTAGGGGGCGAGTGCAGATGGCACTCCAAACCCGCGGAAGGATTTATGGAGCGGCTGAGGGCCGACTCCTGCCTGACAGATATGTCTCGTTTAGTGAAGCTGTAAAGCTGTGGCTTAGAATTGTCTTAAAAATATTAATTAATTATTGAGATAACGGTCTGGGATGAAGGTGGAGGGGGGGGGGGGGGGGGGTTAGGGGGAGGGGAAGTAGGGGGAGGGGGGTTAGGGTTAGGGGGAGGGTGGTTAAGGGAGAGGTGTTTAGAGGAGGGGGGTTTAGGGGGAGGGGGTTTTAGGAGAGGGGATTTAGGGGGAGGGGGGGTATATTGGTTATAAGGAAGCGTTGCGACATGGTTCATGACAAGTAGGAGTGAGGGGGGTGTCAGGGAGGTATGTCGTGTGGCGTGGTACTCACGTGGTGCGGCGGCGCGGAGTGGCAGCAGGCGCGGTCGCGGCCGCGGGCCACGTGCGCGCCGCCGTCCGACGCGCGGCGGCCCAGCGACGACGCTGCGGCACACGCACCACACCTCACACCTCACACCTCACACCGCGCACCGCGCACCACAGCGACTGCGGCGCCACCACCGGTGGTGCCGCAGTCGCTGTTACTAGACCGGTGGGTCTAGTGGTATGGCGCGCCGCTCTACGTCCGACGGTCGCGGGTTCGATTCCTCGCACGGCACAAACATTTGTATTCAAGAGTAGGATCGTTTGTGTCGGTCTGAATGTTTTCTATATATAATATGTATGTATTTACGAAAACAAAAATATATACATTTATTTGTATCAGTTATCTAGTACCCGTAACACAAGCTTTAGCTAGCTTAACTTGAGTCTAGATGGCGCTGTGTGAATTGTCTTGAAATTATTATTATTATTATTATAATGTTGTTAGTTTCCTTATTTATAGTACGTTTCGCTCAGACACCACCAAGTCTAGAGTCTTTCTTAGCAAGGAAACAAATTTTACATCACCTGTGTTTCCAGCTTTTTGGCACTAACTAATGTTGTGGCACTGCTTATTAATAGTGCCATATAGCGTTGGTTGGTGTTAGCACTAACTAATGTTGTGACACTACTTATTGATAGTGTCATATAGTATTGATTGGTGCTAATACTAACTAATGTTGTAACACTACTTATTGATAGTGTCATATAGTATTAGTTGGTGTTGGCACTACTCATTGATAGTGCCATATAACGTTGGTTGGTGTTGGCTCTAACTAATGTTGTGGCACTACTTATTTATAGTGTCATATAGTATTGGTTGGTGTTGGTACTAACTAATGTTGTGACACTACTTATTGATAGTGTCATATAGTATTGGTTGGTGCTGATACTAACTAATGTTGTGGCACTACTTATTGATAGTGTCATATAGTATTGGTTGGTGTTGGCACTAACTAATGTTGTGACACTACTTATTGATAGTACCATATAGCGTTGGTTGATGTTGGCACTAACTAAAGTTGTGGCACTACTTATTGATAGTGTCATGTAGTATTGGTTGGTGCTGATACTAACTAATGTTGTAGCACTACTTATTGATAGTGTCATAAAGTATTGGTTGATGTTGGCACTAACTAATATTGTGACACTACTTATTGATAGTACCATATAGCGTTGGTTGGTGTTGGCACTAACTAATGTTGTGACACTACTTATTGATAGTGTCATATAGTATTGGTTGGTGTTGGCACTAACTAATGTTGTGGCACTACTTATTGATAGTGTCATACAGTAATGGTTAGTGCTGGCACTAACTAATGTTGTGACACTACTTATTGATAGTGTCATAGTGTTGATTGATGTATACACTAATTAATGTTGTGGCACTACTTATTGATAATATCATATAGTATTGGTTAGTGCTGGCACTAATAAAATTAACAGTGTTGTAGCACTATTAATAATGTGTGGATATTTATTTGGTGCTTAAAGCTGAAGTGCTGCTGCACGGCCGGCAGCTTTTGACAGTGGTGTGATGTGTGTGTTGAGTGTGATGAGTACGCACCATGGGTCTGCATGGCGTGCGGCGGCTTGAGCAGGTGCTGGTCCTTGACGCTGAAGTACCGCGGCGGCTGGTGCTGCACGGCCGGCAGCTTGGCCGCCAGGTTGGTGTGCGGCAGCAGGGACACCGGCGCGCCTGCCTGCTGCTGCAACACGTATGCCCAAGCTCAACATCATCTCAATATACCAGGTGTTGTATAGTAGAACAAGTAGAATAATGAGATATCCAGATGATCCCTCCATGTCCTCCTCCGTTAAAAACCCAGATGATGTAGATATTTCATCATCAGCATTTATAATTCTAGGATTATAGACTAGCAAGATATAAATTTGATATTCAAGAAAGAATTGACTTAACGACTTATTCAGTTTAGTCTTAATTTGAATTCCAAAATACAATACAAAGTTGTATTGCTTGGTAATAGATATCAGGATTAGAACAGCAAAGCTGATAGTGCAGCGAGTGTTGGGTACATACGTTGAAGTGCGCGGAGACGTAGAGGGGGGCCGCGCGGAGGTCGGCCGCAGCGCCCAGATCTCCGCCCGCCTGCAACGATATTAGATACATTCAATACAAATCACAAAATCAACACTTTATATCACAGACACGTTACAATATTTAAATTTTATGGTAAATAGCTGCTTTACACAACATGTTCTTCGACGCACTTCGTTAGAAAAAAAACTCTCTTCACCGTCTCCGCGGGGCCTCCGGGACCCACGCGGGGCTCCGCCGCCGCCACCACGCACCACGAGTGCTGATGATGATGATGATGCACTGATGTGGTACCTGCGGATGTGGTCCCTGCGGATGTGGTTCCTGCGGATGTGGTCCCTGCGGAAGTGGTTCCTGCGGATGTGGTCCCTGCGGAAGTGGTTCCTGCGGATGTGGTCCCTTGACGCGAAGTGGTTCGCTGCGGATGTGGTCCCGCGTGGCGGCAAGTGGTTGCGGGCGGCGGATGTGGTCCCGTGACTGGGATGTGGTTCTGCGGATGTGGATGCGCGTGGTCCCCCGGAAGTGGTTGCCTGCGCGGCGTGGATGTGGTCCTCGTGACTGGAAGTGGTTCCTGCGGATGTGGTCCCTGCGGAAGTGGTTCCTGCGGATGTGGTCCCTGCGGAAGTGGTTCCTGCGGATGTGGTCCCTGCGGAAGTGGTTCCTGCGGATGTGGTCCCTGCGGATGTGGTACCTGCGCGTGGCGGCAGTCCCCCGGGCCGACGGTGTGCCTGCGGGCGGCGTGGGAGTCCCCGGGCGTCCTCGTGACTGCGGATGTGTCCCTGCGGATGTGGTACCTGCGCGTGGCGGCAGTCCCCCGGGCCGACGGTGTGCCTGCGGGCGGCGTGGGAGTCCCCGGGCGTCCTCGTGACTGCGGATGTGTCCCTGCGGATGTGGTACCTGCGCGTGGCGGCAGTCCCCCGGGCCGACGGTGTGCCTGCGGGCGGCGTGGGAGTCCCCGGGCGTCCTCGTGACTGCGGATGTGTCCCTGCGGATGTGGTACCTGCGCGTGGCGGCAGTCCCCCGGGCCGACGGTGTGCCTGCGGGCGGCGTGGGAGTCCCCGGGCGTCCTCGTGACTGCGGATGTGTCCCTGCGGATGTGGTACCTGCGCGTGGCGGCAGTCCCCCGGGCCGACGGTGTGCCTGCGGGCGGCGTGGGAGTCCCCGGGCGTCCTCGTGACTGCGGATGTGTCCCTGCGGATGTGGTACCTGCGCGTGGCGGCAGTCCCCCGGGCCGACGGTGTGCCTGCGGGCGGCGTGGGAGTCCCCGGGCGTCCTCGTGACTGCGGATGTGTCCCTGCGGATGTGGTACCTGCGCGTGGCGGCAGTCCCCCGGGCCGACGGTGTGCCTGCGGGCGGCGTGGGAGTCCCCGGGCGTCCTCGTGACTGCGGATGTGTCCCTGCGGATGTGGTACCTGCGCGTGGCGGCAGTCCCCCGGGCCGACGTGTGCCTGCGGGCGGCGTGGGAGTCCCCGGGCGTCCTCGTGACTGCGGATGTGTCCCTGCGGATGTGGTACCTGCGCGTGGCGGCAGTCCCCCGGGCCGACGGTGTGCCTGCGGGCGGCGTGGGAGTCCCCGGGCGCCGCCGCGGCCGCGGTGGCGGGCCCCGCGCGGGGCTCCGCTGCCGCCGCGCCTCCCTCGTCGAACTGCAAAACATTTATTTTTATACCAACTTTCAGCCCTATTTCGGCTACTGCAGCCGTGTTCCGATTGGAAGGTGTAATAAAATATTAGGATATGAATACATCTTACTCTTCGAAATTAGACAAAGTTTCTAATACGAATTACTAAAAGCGGCAATCTAAATCTAATGTACTTAGAATTCTTTGAAGCATTTGACGTAGTTGAACATACTAAACTTATTGAGAAATTGGCCCCCAAAAAATGCCCTGCCCACTAAATTAGTGAGTCCAAATGATCTTCAAGACCCTTATCTGCTTAGCTTTGTTAGCTTCTTATTTTTTAAGTATTTTAATTTGACACAGTGTGATTAACCTGGGAGTGCTTAAGGGATCTAAACTTGGACCTCCAATCCTTCCTAATTTCTTCAATGACACAAATAGTCCAATAAAATTAAAAAATAATAAAGGCTAGATGTTTAACATTCGATATAAATCGCTTATGACTCACATCGCCGCCAATACATATAACTGCATCGAATTTTATGTTAATCATAATAGGTTTATTATCGCTGAACATATGATTGAGTTACCTTCTCGAGACTATCAGCCGCGTCGGCGAGGTAGTCTGTGGCGCAGGGGATGGAGACCAGGCACTCTTGGGATGAAGCCTCCTCTGCATCCATTTGTTCGTCCTCTGTGTTCTGCTGTCAACATATAACCAAAGTAGTTTAAAGTCATTGTGATTTTAGTTTTACTCAACAATTAAATTACAACTTTACTACATAAATCATTAGACACATTTTCGATAGTACCTTACAACTAGTGAGATCTAATGGCTGGCCTGTTGTGGAGTCCAAGGAATCTGTAACAATATATTTACTAACTAGTATAAAATTATATAGTAGCACATCAAAGTTGCTATAAATCAAATAAACAATGAAAGATTTATGAACTGGACGGTAAGGATAAAATATTAATATAAAAAAAATTTACGGTCGTAAGTGGCACTTCAGCCACTTACGAGGACGACCCCTAAGGGGACGCAGTGTAGTCTGGTCAGTACCTCTGTGCTGCAGACTGTTCCTGGCGCTGGAGCGTTGCTGCAGCTTGTCCATCAGCAGGTGGTAGATGGCCGAGATGTGATCGAAACGCTCCTCCTGCACGCTCTGTGGTACACACCAGACATTTTGTACATCTGTAGCATCATTATTCACTTTTTTATTTCTAAATTTAAGCGCTTTTGACTGATCTCACTCATGTTAAGTGATAAGTTTAAACTGTTACACGCAATCTCAAATAGTGTCTATTCACTCGTGTTAGGGTTCACATCAATATTGTAGAAAGACTCGACATTAAAAGAAGGTAGTTTGTGTTTAGTGTTAATGAAGTACCCAATGTAAAGATTATTATTAATATTGTAAATAGCGCCATCTAGTATTTATAGACCGAACTAAATTATTTGTCATTTATAAGATAACCGTTACCCCCGTTTCTCTCCCTACTACACTGACTTCGGTCTATAAATACGGAGGTCGGTAGTTGAATAATTCTCTTTCGTAGAATAAGCCAAGGCGTTCAGTCGACGAGCACGGAACGTGCAGCTTGTATTTTGGATGTACTAAAGTAAATTGTATTAGAGACGGGTTTATCCCGGACTTAGTAGGGCCTGGGGGGAAGCTGCAAGTAGTGAAGATGAGTGTTAAAGCATTCTAAAAGGGCCTTTTAAACCTACACCCGTGTCACTAGTCACGGTGCTACTTTTTCTTCCGGTAGCCGGCATCAAACCCTAAGTCTGATACAAATCTTCGTACCATGCGTCATGAATCAAACCCGCTACCATCGGAAGCAAGCAAGTACTAAACCGTAGACTACCGAGCCATCCATAAAGTAGCGAGTTCGCTGGAGCCAGAAGAAAAAAGAGTAGCAAGTGTAGACGCGTGAGAAGACATACCTGGTGTATGTGGTGGTCTGTGAGGCCGGGCAGCGCCAGCATGTGGGCCAGCACGGTGTCGTGTGGCCCCCCTCCCCCCTCCACCCCCGCGCCCCCCACTGCCCCCTCCGCCCCCGCCCCCCTCGCCGCCGCCGCCCCGTGACACGCGCACTCGCCCTGCGAGATGTCTGCGGAAAATCACTCATTGACTTCTCCCCACGCTTCACGTGTTTGTCTACAAATATAACTGTCTTTTTTTAGGTTCTGTTTTTTTTTTAGAGGATGATAGTGGAATGGTGCACTTACTTGCGCTAACAGTTTACGCTGGTGGGCACCAGTGGAGGAGGATAAGATGAACATGAAGTAAGATCAGTTAGCCCAACGTGACAAATTCACCGCAAATTTATCACGATGGTTTCCAGAGGGAACCGGTTCTGTTTTTTTTTTATGGATTATAATGAAATGGTGCACCTGCCTGCGTTAACGGTTTACGCTGGCAGGGCACCAATGGAGGATGATAAGATCAACATGAAGTCAGATCAGTTAGCCCAACGTGACAAATTCACCGCAAATTTATCACGATGGTTTCCAGAGGGAACCGGTTCTGTTTAGATTCTGTTTTTTTTATGGATTATAATGAAATGGTGCACCCACCTGCGTTAACGGTTTAGGCTGGCGGGGCACCAGTGGAGGATGATAAGATGAACATGAGGTCAAGTCAGTTAGCCCAACGTGACAAATTCACCGCAAATTTATCCCTATGGTTTCCAGAGGGAACCGGTTCTGTTTAGGTTCTATTTTTTTTTATGGATTATAATGGAATGGTGCACCCGCCTGCGTTAACGGTTTACGCTGGCAGGGCACCAGTGGAGGATAAGATGAACATGAAGTCAGATCAGTTAGCCCAACGTGACAAATTCACCGCAAATTTATCACGATGGTTTCCAGGGGGAACCGGTTCTGTTTATCCCTTCAGGGAAAGGGAACTGTGCGGATACAGCCATAAAAAAACAAATACGGTTACTAACACGTCACTTATTCGTGGGACAAAAATAGGATGGCGTATCGTTTGCAAAAATAATCATGGAGTTTCAATCTTAGTTGTACGATATTACATACATATTATACAAAACCACATTCACTATTATTGAAAAGATATTTATGTATTTATTTATTATTTTGTATACATGACGGATTTAATGCCTGATGACATTCTCTACCAGTCAACAGTCGCGTTGATTAACGATAATAAGGTGGTGCAATTTAACAGTTAATATATAAAGAAAAACAAATATGGATAAATACAGAAAATTATATATTTATTTATTCTTTAATATACATGACGGATTTAATGCCTGATGACATTCTCTACCAGTCAACAGTCGCGTTGATTAAAGATAATAAGGTGGTGCAATTTTGCAGTTAATATATAAAGAAAAACAAATATGGATAAATACAAAAAATTATATATGTTTCTTCTCTTTAAACTTTTTTTAAACTCAGGACATTTCACACAATGCCATCTAGTCCTAATCTGAGCAGAGTTTATGTTATGGGTACTAGACAACTCAAAGAAATACTTAAAATACATTTTTTTTGTAAATGCATACATAATATTCATAAACAATACCCAGACCGATACAAACATACTCATGAATACAAATCTTTACATCGTACGAGGAATTGAATCCGCGACCTTTAGAAGTAGAGTGTGCTCAACTGCTAGTATACTGAGGCCTGTCTAAGTTAATAAACAAATTAATTTCTCAACCAGATCCGGCTCGAAGGACTAAGTTGAGAATAAAATTTTGACTTCCACATTATAAAAAACGTAAATAGTTTTATTTTTTTAGGAATTCTACATCAACCACATGGGAAAAGTACATAAAATCAGTCATTTATGGCAATAACGATATGTTTGTGACCTGATACATTACTGAACAAAAATCAACGATAAAAAAAATCGAAGTGAAGAATGGTTCTTCATTTAGATTTTTTTTATCGTCGATTAAGAAATAAGAAATAATATTTATTCAAATAAACTTAAGGTTACTTACTTAAGGTCCCTGACTAATGAACAGAATAAGTTCATTTATAGTATAAATAATTTAATTTATTCGATGACATATCATTGTAATGATATATTTTATTTTGAAAGTAACAAATTTGTTACAAATTATTATATGACGGGAGGTAATTTTTATCTTCCTAAAAAACAAAAAAAGACTATTGCTAGTTTACTAGCGTATAACATTTATGATCCCATTATAAGTAGTATAACGGATTTAATTAGTAATATTAGTAATAATACTAATAATGTGACATGTGTTAATTTAAACTAACATCTACGACATTGGTTAAGCCACAGGATATGGTCATTATTCATCAAAATATTCGTGGCTTCTCCAGCAAAGAATTAGAATTAAGTCTATTCTTAGAATCTAACAATGTACGGGTGTTATGTCTGACAGAACATTGGCTTAAACAATATGAAATAATTTGTCCTTTTGAACATTATAATATAGCTAGTTTTTTTGCTAGGAACAATGCCATTCATGGCGGGTCAATTATTATTTTAAAAAATGATGTAGAATATAAAAACCGTCAAGACATTGTAAATATTTCTATTGAGCAAACAATTGAACTATCTTGCGTAGAATTAGTTACTTGTATAATAATTTGCGTTTATCGTCCGCCATCGGCTTGTTTTGATTCTTTTGAACTGGCTATGGAGGAAGCATTGAGACGAGTCGCACGGAGGAATAAAACATTATTTGTATGTGGCGATTTTAATGTTGATTTATTATCGGAATGCTCAATAAGCTTAAGATTGATTAACTTATTTAAATCATTTAATTTGCACAATCTTTTTTTAGAACCCACTAGGGTCGCAGGAAATTCTGCCACTTGTATAGATAATGTTTTTTGTAATTGTGAAGTAAAGGTGAAAATGAATTTCGACTGTCTTGGATCTGATCATTATGGACAAAAAGTTATAATTGAAACTAAGGGATCCAAAGGGACACAAACAATTACATGCAGACAAATAACACAAAAGAATTTGGCACGTTTTAAAAATAAAATTGAACATAAAATATCTAGTGTCATAGTACCTCAATATGACCCGGACATTGTATGTGAACATATTTTTAATTTAATTGACAATGAAGCTAGCAGTGAATTTAAAACAAAAACCTTTTCAACTAGTGTAAAATCAAAGTTTTGTGACTGGGCCACGTTTGGTATTTATAAGTCTAGGGCTAATCTTTACGAACTTTACGAAAAACGAAGCTATATATCCGATCCCTTATTTCATGAACATGTAAAATCTTATTCGAAAATATTTAAAAAGGTTTGTCATACAGCTAAGTCTCTCTATTTAGGTAAAATAATAACTAAATCTAAAGATAAAATAAAAGCCACTTGGAAAGTAATAAATAGCGAAACTGGAAAAGTTAATTTTCAAAATAGTAAAATAGCTTTAAATATTAATAACAAATTGGTAAATTCCGACACAGAGGTCGCGGATGCATTCGAATCTTATTTCACTAATATTCCATTAATTACGACACAGGCTCTAAAATCTTCCCCGTCTGCTGCTGAAACTTTACTAACAGACAATGTTAGCAAGTCATCAGCTGTATTTAACTTTAGACATACATCATCCGTAGAAATAATGAAAATATTCAAACAGCTTAATAATAAAAAAACAGAGGATCTATGGGGTATATCTGTTAAAATACTAGATAGTATAATGGAAATTATTGCGCCCTCTCTTGCTTTTATTTTCAATAAATGTATAGATGAAGGTAAATTTCCTAACATAATGAAAATTAGTAAAATCATACCGCTTTTTAAATCTGGAGATAGGAGTGACCCAATAAATTATAGACCTATATCTATACTCCCAGCACTCAGTAAAATTTTTGAAAAAATAATCCTTATGCAGCTTGTCAGTTATTTCAATTTAAATAATTTAATCCACAATAGTCAATTCGGTTTTTCCAAAGGTCGTTCAACTACAGACGCAGGTGCAGAGTTGCTTAGACACGTATTTGCTGCATGGGAAACTAAAATGGATGCGATAGGTGTTTTTTGTGACCTTTCTAAGGCTTTTGATTGCGTTGATCATAATACCTTGCTAAAAAAACTTGCTTTTTATGGCGTCAAAGACAATGCTTTAAATTTAATAAAATCTTATCTATCTGATAGAATACAGAAAGTGAAGGTTAGCAACGCTACGTCTGACGGGTCACTTGTGCAAATGGGTGTACCTCAAGGATCTATTCTCGGTCCATTTTTATTCCTAGTTTACATTAATGATCTCCCATATGCCATGCAGGATAGATGCGGCATAGTATTATTTGCAGACGATACTTCATTGATTTTTAAAGTTAATAGAATGACTAATAATTATGACGATGTAAATAGTGCTTTGCGGCGTCTCCTGCACTGGTTTACAACTAACAATCTTATGTTAAACGCTAAAAAAACAAAATGTGTTAATTTCTCTCTGTCTAAAAGTTTTAATACTAATTGCAATATTAAATTAAATGACGAATCTCTGGAATTTATAGAATCTACTGTCTTTCTAGGAATCACACTAGATAATAAAACACAATGGGGTGCACAAATTCAAAGCCTTGCAGCGAAACTAAGTTCAGCAGCTTTTGCCGTGCGTAAGGTTAGACAGTACACTGATACTGATACTGCTAGATTAGTCTATTTTAGTTATTTTCATAGTTTACTCTCTTATGGAATATTACTATGGGGAAAAGCGGCAGATATTAAAAATATATTCATATTACAAAAACGTGCCGTTCGAGCGATCTACTGTATGAAGAGTCGTGACTCATTAAGAGAGAAATTCAAAGAGGCAAATATTCTCACCGTTGCTTCTCAATTTATATATTCAAATATCCTATATGTTCATAAAAATCTTGACTTATTTCCAAAAAACAGCAATATTCATAATATTAATACAAGATTTAAAGACAAACTTGCTGTCCCCAAGTATCGTTTAGAAAAAGTTAATAGGTCTTTTATGGGAATAGGTATAAAAATTTACAATAAGATACCAAAGGATATGTTGGAATTACCCTTAAATAAATTCAAAACATCTGTTAAATCATATTTACTGAGCAAAGCCTATTACTCACTAAACGATTACTTGAATGACGAGTGTGCATGGCAATAGTTGTTCATGCACTGAATTTTCATTTAATGTTAGACATAGACACCTATATAAATATACATTGTAAATAAACTGGCTTTAAAAAAAAAGTAATTCAATTGAGTTTCTTGCCAGTTCTTCTCAATTGGATCTATATACCGAACTGGACGGTAGGGAAAAAAATAAAATTATAATGTAAAAATTTGACGTTCATAAGCGGCTAAAATGTCCTACATGAATAAATGATTTTTGAATTTGAATTTGAATTTGTTAGGTTAGCATTTTTCCAATATAATTTTCTAATTTGATTGTTGATTGATTGTGAATGAAAAGACCAGTTACCGACCGTAGTCTCCTGGAGGCCGGCCCGCCAGCCAGCGGTGCTTAGCCACGCTGCGCAGCGACAGCCGCTTCTCAGGGTCTACTACCAGCATGTGACGGATCAAGTGCTCGCAATCTGAAATATAAGTACATAAAAGTAGCCTAAGTTATTCCTTTTTGCATCAGATACTTGCTAATAAAAGTCCCGTCAAAATCGGTCCAACCATTTTAGAGATTAGCCGGAACAGACAGACAGACATACAAAAATTGTAAAAAAATTAATTTGGTGTATGTTTGGTGGTTATTTCAATATTACAAACAGACACTCTAATTTTATTTATATGTATAGATAGAACACACCCATATATGTCCCGTGTACAAATATTTGTCCCGTGCAAGGAATCGAACTTGCGAACATCGGAAGTAAGGCGGTATGCTAAACCAGCGAGTTAAATAGTAAATTTCGTTGTCAGTAAGCATAGTGATGAAACATCACCAACAAAATCATACACCTGGTACGATCACTGATTTTCTCCATCGCGCTATATGGTGCAGAGATATGGACACTCAAAGCCGCTGGAAGGCAAGGAGTTGACGCCTCTGAAATGTGGTGCTGGCGTCGACTATTGAGGATACCGTGAGACATGAACACTCAAAGCCGCTGATAGCCAAAGAAGTCAGCCTTTGAAATATGGTGCTGGCGTCGACTATTAAAGATACCCTGAGACATGGACACTCAAAGCCGCTGATAGCCAAAGAGGTCAGCCTTTGAAATGTGGTGCTGGCGTCGACTATTGAGGATACCGTGAGACATGGACACTCAAAGCCGCTGATAGCCAAAGAGGTCAGCCTTTGAAATGTGGTGCTGGCGTCGACTATTGCGGATACCATGAGACATGAACACTCAAAGCCGCTGATAGCCAAAGAAGTCAGCCTTTGAAATATGGTGCTGGCGTCGACTATTAAAGATACCCTGAGACATGGACACTCAAAGCCGCTGATAGCCAAAGAGGTCAGCCTTTGAAATGTGGTGCTGGCGTCGACTATTGAGGATACCGTGAGACATGGACACTCAAAGCCGCTGATAGCCAAAGAGGTCAGCCTTTGAAATGTGGTGCTGGCGTCGACTATTGCGGATACCATGAGACATGAACACTCAAAGCCGCTGATAGCCAAAGAAGTCAGCCTTTGAAATATGGTGCTGGCGTCGACTATTAAAGATACCCTGAGACATGGACACTCAAAGCCGCTGATAGCCAAAGAGGTCAGCCTTTGAAATGTGGTGCTGGCGTCGACTATTGAGGATACCGTGAGACATGGACACTCAAAGCCGCTGATAGCCAAAGAGGTCAGCCTTTGAAATGTGGTGCTGGCGTCGACTATTGAGGATACCATGAGACATGAACACTCAAAGCCGCTGATAGCCAAAGAAGTCAGCCTTTGAAATATGGTGCTGGCGTCGACTATTAAAGATACCCTGAGACATGGACACTCAAAGCCGCTGATAGCCAAAGAGGTCAGCCTTTGAAATGTGGTGCTGGCGTCGACTATTGAGGATACCGTGAGACATGGACACTCAAAGCCGCTGATAGCCAAAGAGGTCAGCCTTTGAAATGTGGTGCTGGCGTCGACTATTGAGGATACCGTGAGACATGGACACTCAAAGCCGCTGATAGCCAAAGAGGTCAGCCTTTGAAATGTGGTGCTGGCATAGACTATTAAGGATACCGTGAGACATGGACACTCAAAGCTACTGATAGCCAAAGAGTTGACGCCTTTGAAATGTGGTGCTGGCGTCGACTATTGAGGATACCGTGAGACATGGACACTCAAAGCCACTGATAGCCAAAGAGGTCAGCCTTTGAAATGTGGTGCTGCCGTCGACTATTGAGGATACCGTGAGACATGGACACTCAAAGCCGCTGATAGCCAAAGAGGTCAGCCTTTGAAATGTGGTGCTGGCATAGACTATTAAGGATACCGTGAGACATGGACACTCAAAGCTACTGATAGCCAAAGAGTTGACGCCTTTGAAATGTGGTGCTGGCATAGACTATTAAGGATACCGTGAGACATGGACACTCAAAGCCGCTGATAGCCAAAGAGGTCAGCCTTTGAAATGTGGTGCTGGCGTCGACTATTGAGGATACCGTGAGACATGGACACTCAAAGCTACTGATAGCCAAAGAGTTGACGCCTTTGAAATGTGGTGCTGCCGTCGACTATTGAGGATACCGTGAGACATGGACACTCAAAGCCGCTGATAGCCAAAGAGGTCAGCCTTTGAAATGTGGTGCTGGCATAGACTATTAAGGATACCGTGAGACATGGACACTCAAAGCTACTGATAGCCAAAGAGTTGACGCCTTTGAAATGTGGTGCTGGCGTCGACTATTAAGGTTACTGTGAGACATGGACATTCAAAGCTACTGATAGCCAAAGAGTTGACGCCTTTGAAATGTGGTGCTGGCGTCGACTATTAAGGTTACCGTGAGACATGAACATTCAAAGCTACTGATAGCCAAAGAGTTGACGCCTTTGAAATGTGGTGCTGGCATAGACTATTAAGGTTACTGTGAGACATGGACACTCAAAGCTACTGATAGCCAAAGAGTTGCCGCCTTTGAAATGTGGTGCTGGCATAGACTATTAAGGATACCGTGAGACATGGACACTCAAAGCTACTGATAGCCAAAGAGTTGACGCCTTTGAAATGTGGTGCTGGCATAGACTATTAAGGATACCGTGAGACATGGACACTCAAAGCTACTGATAGCCAAAGAGTTGACGCCTTTGAAATGTGGTGCTGGCGTCGACTATTGAGGATACCCTGAGACATGGACACTCAAAGCTACTGATAGCCAAAGAGTTAACGTCTTTGAAATGTGGTGCTGGCGTCGACTATTGACGATACCGTGGACAGCCCACCGTACAAACGTCTCTATACTAAAAAAGCTCAAATTGGAAGAGTCACGGCGTCTGTCTTCTACTTATCTGCAACGCATTGTGCGATACTTCGGACACGTTGCGCGGACGAGTGTGGACAATATGGAGAGACTAATGGTAACAGGCAAGATAGAGGGTAAAAGACCTTGAGGCCGAAGTCCCACTCGATGGTCAGACCAGGTATCCCGTCAGCTAAACATTACTGTCAGCGCCTCATTACACCAGGCGTCAGCGCAACTTATGGCGACAGCTGATCGACAAGATAATGTAGAGTCGCGATCCTCAGCAGTGAGGGAACGATTAATAAGAAGCATATTGATGAAGTGAAGTGTTGATGGTAATAAAAAACTACTACTATAGTAGTTTTGTAGACGTACCACGGATATTACAACAAGAATAGCCATGGCAAAAAAAGTATTTGATAACAAAAAATACCTTTTACGTGCTAAGATATCCAAGAACTCACGGAAACGATTTATTAAGACCTATATCTGGAGTATAGCTTTGTATGCATGTGAAATGTGGACATTAACTCCAAAAGAAAAGGACGAACTGGAAGCTTTTGAAATGTGGTGCTGGAGAAGGACGGAAAGAATTAGCTGGAAAGATAAAGTAAGAAATGAAGAAGTATTGCACAGGGTGAAAGAAAAAAGGCAGATATTGGATGCTAAAGAAAGTAGAAAAGGAAAAATATTGGGGCAATTGATACGGCACGATGAATTTTTGAAACTAATTATTGAGGAAAAGATAGAAGGAAAGAAGCGGAAAGGAAGACCAAGGCACAGTTACATGGAACAAATTAAAGACAGAATTGGAGTCGTGTCGTATTAGGCTTAAAGAGTATGATGGAAGATCGTAGAGGGTGGCAAGAGCTCCACAGTCCACACAAGAGCGTCGCTAAGTTTATGAGTGAATGATAGTAGTTACCTTGTGACATGAAGTAAGGTATCCTGAACTTGCCGCTGAGCACGACCTGCCTGAGCTCGTGCAGTGTGCCGCCGTCGAATGGCAAAGCGCCACACACCAGCACGTACAGCACCACGCCCAGCGACTGACACCACAAACAAACAGCCGGATCAATATTATGTTATTATTATTATTTATCCTTTATTGCACTATTTAAAATAATGTACAATTGGCGAGCTTAATGCCATATGGCATTCTCTACCAGCTAACCATTGTGTTATATTCGATCACGTCGTTCAATCAATCAATCGATCAATCAATCAATCCATCAATCAATCAATCGATCAATTAATCAATCGGTCAATCTCACATCTCTTTTATGATTGATATCGTTACAGCAGACTGGTTGCACCGTACGATTATACCATTTCATATTTTTTTCAAAAAATCTATTTTATAAACTAGCTTTGCCCACGATTTCACTCGCGTTAAATTTCCATATAAAATATAGCCTATGTTTTATTCTGATGTATAAGCTATATTACTGTAGTTTCATCAAAATCCGTTTAGTAGTTTTTGCGTGTAAGAGTAACAAACATCCATAGTTCTATACTTACAAACTTTCAAGTTTATAATATTACTAGCTATTAGCCGCGGCTTCGCTCGTATATAATAAATTTTTTTTTTGAATAAAAAGTATCCTATATTCATTCTAATACCAAGAACATGTGTACAAAATTTCATGATTATCGGTTTAGTAGTTTTTGCGTGAAAGCATAACAAACATCCTTACTTTCACATTTAAAATATTATATATACTAGCTGCTCCCTCCTATTTTGCATGGGTGTACATGTATTAATATATACATATGAATCTACCACTTGAATCACTTTATCTATTAAAAAACCGCTTCAAAATCCGTTCCGTAGTTTTAAAGATTTAAGCATACAAAGGGACAGACAGTCAGCGACAGCGACTTTGTTATATACTATGTAATTAAAGGAGTAAGGATTAAGATTAAAATATATTAAAGTTACATTATTCTCTTTCGAATATGCTTAAAGTAAGTTAAGTTATAACTTACCCAGATGTAAATATATTAAAGTTACATTATTCTCTTTCGATTATGTTTAAAGTAAGTTAAGTTATAACTTACCCAGATGTAAATATATTAAAGTTACATTATTCTCTTTCGAGTATGCTTAAAGTAAGTTAAGTTATAACTTACCCAGATGTAAATATATTAAAGTTACATTATTCTCTTTCGGGTATGCTTAAAGTAAGTTAAGTTATAACTTACCCAGATGTAAATATATTAAAGTTACATTATTCTCTTTCGATTATGTTTAAAGTAAGTTAAGTTATAACTTACCCAGATGTAAATATATTAAAGTTACATTATTCTCTTTCGAGTATGTTTAAAGTAAGTTAAGTTATAACTTACCCAGATGTAAATATATTAAAGTTACATTATTCTCTTTCGAGTATGCTTAAAGTAAGTTAAGTTATAACTTACCCAGATGTAAATATATTAAAGTTACATTATTCTCTTTCGATTATGTTTAAAGTAAGTTAAGTTATAACTTACCCAGATGTAAATATATTAAAGTTACATTATTCTCTTTCGAGTATGTTTAAAGTAAGTTAAGTTATAACTTACCCAGATGTAAATATATTAAAGTTACATTAGTATCTTTCGATTATGTTTAAAGTAAGTTAAGTTATAACTTACCCAGATGTAAATATATTAAAGTTACATTATTCTCTTTCGAGTATGTTTAAAGTAAGTTAAGTTATAACTTACCCAGATGTAAATATATTAAAGTTACATTATTCTCTTTCGAGTATGCTTAAAGTAAGTTAAGTTATAACTTACCCAGATGTAAATATATTAAAGTTACATTATTCTCTTTCGAGTATGCTTAAAGTAAGTTAAGTTATAACTTACCCAGATGTAAATATATTAAAGTTACATTATTCCCTTTCGAGTATGCTTAAAGTAAGTTAAGTTATAACTTACCCAGATGTCCGCCTTTGGCCCGTCATACTGTCGACCCTCGAAGAGTTCTGGCGCCGCGTACGGCGGACTGCCGCACCACGTGGCCAGCGGCGATCCCGAAGTATACTCGTTACTGAACCCGAAGTCTGCCAGCTGTCGAGTGACATCGAACCATAACTATACGATTATATTTACTGTACTAGCTGTTCCTGCGACTTCGTCCGCGTGGAATTTAACTTTATTTTTTTTTAAATAAAAGTAGCCTAAGTTATTCCTTATTGCATCAGCTACCTGTCAAAAAGTCTCGTCAAAATCGGTCCAGGCATTTCAGAGATTAGCCGGAACAAATAGACGGAAAAAAAATGTTATTTTAGTGTATGTACCGTATTCATATTCATACGCATGTAGTAAAAACGGTTATTTTAATATTACAAACAGACACTCCAATTTTATTTATACGTATAGATTAGTAAGTTTATTATATGATGACTAGTCTCCCTACGATGGAACCTGGACCTTTCTAGAAGGTTGTAATTTTACCGCCAAAATATCGTTATTCAAAAAGGAACACAGTCATGCTAGCACATCAACAAACAAAAAAGACAGAGAAATCACTGGAAATGACTCCAGTCTCCCTGCGATGGAACCTAGAAGTTTCTAGAAGGTTTGCTCACCTTAATATTCATGTCCCTATCGAGTAGCAGGTTCTTAGCTTTTTTTTACAACCACAATTTCATCCTTTAAAAAGGAACTCAGTCATGCAAGTCCCGCTGACTAGTCCTCCTACGATGGAACCTGGACCTTTCTAGAAGATTACCTCAATTTTACATGCATATCCCTATCGAGTAGCAGGTTCTCGGCTTTTTTTTAACACCATAATTTCATCGATGAGATAAGATCCATTTTATCGATGAGACAGCAATAGCAAATGACTAGTCTCCCTACGATGCAACCTGGTTCTTTCTAGAAGGTTGTAATTTTACCGCCAAATGTCATTGTCCAAAAAGGAACTCAATCATGCAAGCACATCAACAAACAAGCAAAAAGAGACAGAGAAAGCACTGGAAATGACTCCAGTCTCCCTGCGGTGGAACCTAGAAGTTTCTAGAAGGTTATAGAAGTTTCTAGAAGGTTTGCTCACCTTAATATTCATATCCCTATCGAGTAGCAGGTTCTCGGCTTTTAGATCTCTGTGGACCACTCCGTTCGCGTGGCAGTACCCGACAGCGGCTACCATTTGTGCGAAGGACCTCGCCGCCTCTGTCTCGGGCATTCGACCCCTGGAGACTAGGTGATCTGTGGACGAAATAAAATAATAATCTTAGTACAATTCATACAGCGCTGTTCAAAATCTACCCTATACCATCCATCCAATCTAATAATCTGTGCTTACGATGGTAAGCACAGATTATTATATTAGAAATAGAAATAGAAATAATCTTTATTCAAATAAACTCATTACAAGCACTTTTGAATAGTCATATTTTGATTCTACCACTCATTCAGAATGCAGATTCATCACAAGAAGAATGAGCAAGAAACTTGTGTGTTGCTCTTTTTAATAGATGTTTTTTTTTATATAAATAATTACAGTATAACAAGTAAGAGGCATGCGATAATCAACATAGAAGTCGCTACGCACTCTTTATTAATGTAATCAGATAATATTGTCAGTGCTATGGATTTAAAGTTTTTCTATAAAAACATTATTATCGTTAACGAATTCTTCAATTTTATAGTAAGCTTTTTTGCAAAGGAAGAGCCCGTTAGTTTTGTGTTCCCGCGTCTTTCCTACCCCTCCCTTAACTAGTAACAGACGGACCGTACAGCGGCCTTGACGCGCGCGCGCATTTGTTGTGAATTGAAATAAATTAGAACTGTGTTAACCTACTGTGAAACATAATGTGAAAGTGTGTGAAAGCTATTTGTATCAGTTATCTAGTACCCATAACACATTAACTTGGGTCTAGATGGCGCTGTGTGAATTGTCCTGAGATTATTATTATTATTACATACACTAGCTGTGCCCTATATCTTATATATAAAATTCTCGTGTCACAGTTTTCGTTCCCATACTCCTCCAAAACGGCTTGACCGATTCTCGTGAAATTTTGTGGGAGTATTGAGTAGGTCTGAGAATCGGCCAACGTCTATTTTTCATCCCCCTAAATGTTACGGGTAGTCCACCCCTGAATTTTTTTTTTATTTTAAGGCAAAACAACGTTTGCCGGGACAAAGCTAGTATATGTATATATATATATATGTATGTACCAAAGAACATTACGACGGAGTAATCACGATATCAACCGCAAGGCGTACGCATATGTAATTTGGTTAGATAAACGCCGAGCACCACATAAATTTGGATGGTGTAGTACCGAGGAAGTATTTCTGGAAATTTCCACGATAACTGCAATTGACTGAACAATTATTATTCACGGCGAGTAAAGTCGCGGTGTCCTTCTAACATTTGTGGGTAATATATGCGTTTCCATTCGGAGTCCGCTGATTTAGTAGTTCTAGTTAATCCGTCATATGTTCATACTAGCTTTTGCCGCGGCTTCGCTCGCGTTAATTCATCCCCTTAGAGGTGGAATTTATCAAAATCCTTTCTTAGGCGATGCCTACGTCATAGTAGCTTTATGCATGCAAAATCTCAGCCCGATCGGTTTAAAATTGACAAAGTTTCATACAAACTTTCATCCCATATTTTATCCCCTTGGGGGTAGAATTAATCAAAATCCTTTCTTAGCGGATGCCTACGTCATAACATCTACCTGCATGCCAGATTTCAGCCCGATCCGTCCAGTGGTTTGGGCTGTGCGTTGATAGATCACTATGTCAGTCACCTTTGAGTTATATATATTTAGAACATGTCCACGTGTCTCTCTGAGACTTAATAATGACATAATCTCAGGAAAATTCACACAGCGCCATCTAGATCCAAGTTAAGCTAGCTAAAGCTTGTGTTATAGGTACTAGATACCTGATACAAATACATAGATTTTTTCGTAAATACATACATATTATACATAGAAAACAGCCAGACCGATACAAACAATCGTACTCATGAATACAAATGTTTGCCGTGCGAGGAATCGAATTCGTGACCATCGGAAGGCGGTATGATTAACCGCTAGACCAACGTGGCTATTTGTCATAAAATTAGTTCGTGTTAAGACCCGGTTAATAATATAAATAACTAGCTGTCCCGACAAACGTTGTTTTGCCTTAAAATAAAAAATTTAGGGTTGGACTACCCCTAACATTTAGGGGGATGAAAAATAGATGTTGGCCGATTCTCAGACCTACTCACTACGCTCACAAAATTTCATGAGAATCGGTCAAGCCGTTTCGGAGGAGTATGGGAACGAAAACTGACACGAGAATTTTATATATATGATGTAGATATATTTTATATTCTAAATATAGTTTCAGGGGCCCTTTGTATCCTCGGGCCCTGACTGTAGCCTAAAAGCCGTTAGGTAGATCCGCTAATCAATAGTTAACACTCACCAAATATTTCACCATTGGGTGCGTATTCTGTCACTAAATATATTGTATGGCTGCTCTCCATAACCTGAAATAGAAAATTATAGACAGTTTTGTAACAACAGTAATCATTATTTATATAAACTTAATATAAACACTTATACTATCTTCTATATATACACTAGCTGTCCCGGCAAACGTTGTTTTGCCTTAAAATAAAATAAATGGGCTAGCCCTAACATTTAGGGGGATGAAAAATAGATGTTGGTCGATTCTCAGACCTACTCAATACGCTCACAAAATTTCATGAGAATCGGTCAAGCCGTTTCGGAGGAGTATGGGAACGAAAACTGTAACACGAGAATTTTATATATAAGATAAAGCTGCTCTCGTCCCGGCTTCGCCCCGGGTGTACATGTATCTATACATATAAAAAAAATTGGAGTGTCTATTCGTAATATTGAAATAACCGTTTCTTACTACATGCATATGAATATAAATACGGTACATACACCAAAACCTCATTTTTTACAATTTTTGTCTGTCTGTCTGTTTGTTCCATCTAAGTTCTGACACGGCCATTTTCACGCGCGTCAAACCGCGGGCACAGCTAATGAACAATATTTTTTTATTAAATAAAAAATATATTTATATGTTTACTTGTTTTTGTGTATATATTTAATTGTGATGCGTATTACTTATTGTACATATACACATACACACACCAGAAAGGAAAAGTAAAATAATCTAAATAAGTGGAGTATTAAAAAAAATTATGTATTAGAGTGATTGGTTGTATGAATCTAAAGGACGTAGGTTTAATAAGTCAGGGATGCATTGTATGAATCTAATGAACATAGGTTTAATAAGACAAGTTGAAAATTTGTTGTATTACAAGAGTGCAGTAGATGCTACTTATGTATGTATTAGAGTGATTGGTTGTATGAATCTAAAGGAAGTAGGTTTAATAAGTCAGGGATGCATTGTATGAATCTAATGAACATAGGTTGTATTTGTTGTATTACAAGAGTGCTTCAATGGCACTAACAGGTTTAATAAGGGAAAGTTTGGTGTATTACCTGATATAATCTGACTATATGTGGATGCCTCAGTCTCTTCATAATTGCTATTTCTCTGAAAGTTTTCTTTAAATTGTCTTCGTCTAGTCTTGATTTGTCTATTATTTTTATTGCAACCTGAAACAAATAATGTATAAATTAGTATTTTACATACGGATATTATATACGAATAACGTCCAAATATATTTATTTATTAGCATACAAAACAGATTACAATCAATACAGTAATATAATTAGAGTGATTGGTTGCATGAATCTAAAGAACGTAGGTTTAATAAGACAAGTTGAAAATTTGTTGTATTACAAGAGTGCAGTAGATGCTACTTATGTATGTATTAGAGTGATTGGTTGCATGAATCTAAAGAACGTAGGTTTAATAAGACAAGTTGAAAATTTGTTGTATTACAAGAGTAATTAGTGCACATTTGACGTAGGTTTAATAAGACAAGTTGAAAATTTGTTGTATTACAAGAGTGCAGTAGATGCTACTTATGTATGTATTAGAGTGATTGGTTGTATGAATCTAAAGAACGTTCAAGAGTGCAGTAGATGCTACTTATGTATGTATTAGAGTGATTGGTTGCATGAATCTAAAGAACGTAGGTTTAATAAGACAAGTTGAAAATTTGTTGTATTACAAGTCAACCAGGTTTAATAAGACAAGTTGAAAATTTGTTGTATTACAAGAGTACAGTAGATGCTAAAATTAGAGTGATTGGCGGTGAATCAAAAAATAATCATATTACAAAATAAAAAATAAAAATCAAGGCATAAAAAATTTGTTGTATTAATAATATTTATATGTATTACATGAATCTAAAGATAATACAAGACAATATAAACATATATAAACAAAGAGTGCATATATAATATGATATACAACTGAATCAAAGATAGTATATAATTGAAAATTTGTTGTATTACAAAATCATTATGTAAATAGAATTTTATTTATATTTTAATAAGACAAGTTGAAAAATTACAAGAGGCAGTAGATGCTAGAATTAGAGTGATATGGTTGCATATGAATCTAATAGAATAGAATTTAATAAGACAAGTTGAAAATCATTTATAATTTTGACTTGAGTTAACTTCAAACCTTGCGTACCAGCAGCGTTTATTGTAGCAACCACACTAATATTATAAATGTGACAGTTTGTCAAATAAACTTGGGAAACGCCGTTTAAGGACTTTTGAATAGGTTTAATAAGACAATTGAAAATTTGTTGTATTATGTTTTTTATCTACCACTCGTTCGGAATAAGAGTGCAGTAGATGCTACTTATGTATGTATTAGAGGGATTGGTTGTATGAATCTAAAGGACGTAGGTTTAATAAGACAAGTTGAAAATGTGTATGCTCTTTTAAATAATCCTTGTAAGTTTACATTTACAAGTCGATATAATCTGACTATGTGAATACATAACTATTTCTCTGAAAGTTTTCAAATTGTCAAGTCTAGTCTTGATTTGTCTATTATTTTTATTGCAACCTGAAACAAATATAATCAATAACGTCAATAATTTATTAGATTAAACAATCAATACAGTAATGATAAGAGCTGGATTGTAATCCAACACTATGTATGCCTAAAAGCTTATACACGCATTCAATATACGCTATATAGCTAGATAAGGTTGTTTATTTATTTATTTTAATATATATAACTAATGCACACAGTACAAAAGTAACAGTACATTTGGCGGACTTATCACCATGCGGTATTTTCTACCAGTCAACCATAGGCAGTACAGAAAAAATTGTTGGCGGTGCAAAAATAATCGTAACAAAAAAGAAATAAAAATCAAGGCATAAAAAATGATATAATAATATTTATACTATTACATTTACAATAATACATAAATATAAACATATATAAACAAAGAAGGAATATATAATATGATATACAACTACAATATAGTATATAATGAAATATGTATAGGTTATATAATGAAAAGTATACTAAATCATTATGTTAATAGAATTTTATTTATATTAAAGAAAAAATTGGTACAATATTAAGTATAATTAATAATAATAATGTATTAGAAAATGCCCACTGTAAACTGTACTGGGATATAACAATAATTACTGACAAAACCGTACATCACAATAGACCCGACGTAACATCACGAGAAAATCAATAAAAAAGTATATCTTGTAGATATATCCATCGCAAACACACAATATATAAAGCACCGTCAATGAAAAACTAACAAAGTATACAGATCTAGTAATAGAATTAAAAAAACAATGGAAAGCACACACCATTCATATAGTACAAATAGTTTTGTCATCCACAGGAATTATACCAAGAAGTCTTATCAAACATCTAGACACATTGCAGATCCCCTCCTCTACAATAGACCTGTTACAAGAAGCCGTCATTCTCAACACGTGCCGTATTGTAAGAAAATTTCTTTCTTCATCACTTATCATCATCAATACATAAAGAACACTCAGTTGACTAATTTGTTAAGTACTTACATTTCAAATTTAAAACCATAGCGAGTCACGTGATGTTGGTAGCGTCACGATTAACGGCCACCAATAGTTATAATAATAATAATCTCAGGACAATTCACACAGCACCATCTAGACCCAAGTTAAGCTAACTAAAGCTTGTGTTATGGGTACTAGATAACTGACACAAATACATAGATATTTTTTCAATACATAGAAATAGAAATAATCTTTACTCAAATAAACTCATTACAAGCACTTTTGAATAGTCATATTTTGATTCTACCACTCATTCAGCGACGAATGCAGATTCATCACAAATAAAAGTACTGCTGAAGAATCATTTCAAGAATAATCGTATAACTTGTGTGTTGCTCTTTTTAATAGAGAGTTTATATAAAACATATAAATATAAAATAATTACAGTGTAATATACGTTACAAGTTAACCGGCATAACACGAATAATCAAAATATCTCGACGTGTCTCGCTACCACGCACTCATTAGAGAGACAAAAACATCCGAATTAATGTAATCAGATAATATTGTCAGTGCTATAGATGTTAAAGTTTTTCTATAAAAACATTATTATCGTTAACGAATTCTTCAATTTTATAGTAAGCGAGAGATGTAAATTTTTATTTGCAAAAATTATTCGGAACTGTTTTAAATTTGATAAATTGCATTTAAATCTTTTTTCGTCCCCAGGAGTCATTCAGATTTACACACTAACAGACTCTAGATACTTTATTATAAAACCTTACGCAAACTTGCCAATAAAACGATTTATTACTAACTTTATACCAAAAATCGACAATTTAGTTACCATACTCGTAAAATCAGTTTGTTTGATTGTTATATTCAGTAAATCTGAGAATCTATTTATTAGTGCAAATCACGATATTGACTCTTTTGAAATCACTTACTGTCTATATTATAAATGCCTTCTGGCATAGATGATATTTTCATAAATGTATTGAGAAGATATACAACGGTGAGGATATTTGATTCCTTAAAACACTCTCGCAATGACTTACCCCATCAAAGGGAATATATAATATACTAGCCCATACCATAAATGGAGCGAATGGCCCTCTTTTTTTTTTCATACTTAATATACATAGAAAACACCCAGACCGACACAAACAATCATACTCATGAATACAAATGTTTGTGCCGTGCGAGGAATCGAACCCGCGACCAGGAAGTAAGGCGCTTTACTAAATCGAGGCAGTCATATATACATATGTTTTTATTCGCAACGTACGATTATCACGTGTATACACATACATACATACATTTATCAAGAGCACTGTTGTCAAAGTTACATAAGTATGGTGTATTTGTTTAAATTCGTTATCTCGATGCGTAGTAATATTATCTATTGAACATTCAGTTGGTAGTCCTAATATAATCTGTGATACCAGCTTATAACATCATACCCAATTTCAGGATATTTTTTTATGGATGACTAGCTGTACACGCGACTTCGTCATAGAATTTAAGTTTATTTTTCTAAAATGACAGTAGCCTAAGTTACTTATTATTACATCAGATACCTGCCAATAAAAGACCCGTCAATATCGGTCCAGCCATTTCAGAGGCTAGCCGGAATAAACAGATCGAGACAGATAGACAAAAATTGTAAAAAATGTTATTTTGGTGTATGTACCGTATTTATATTCATATGCATGTAGTAAAAAATTGTTATGTCAATATTACAAACAGATTAACATGGCTACTTTTATTTTAGAAAATAAACTTAAACATTTGAAAATTTATTCATACTTATTTTGATAAAGAGCTCGATGTTTAATATTTATGTAATTTTTTTTAGTAATAAGTATAGTATAAGTAAGGAGCCAACAGAATATCAGCGCTGCAGAGTTATCTGTAGCATTATGCTGAGTTGGCTACCTGCCTTTTCACTTTTGCGGCACATAAAGTCACCTACATTTCTTTTATTAATTCGTGTTTTTCTGTATCTCATGTATGTTATGTGTCTGTAATTGTGAATAAAGAATTTATCTATCTATCTATCTAAATTCCACGCGGACGAAGTCGCGGGAACAACTAGTTATAAATAAAAACAAAACCTAGTGGTTTAAAATATGGTCATAAAAAAAAATCGGCTATAATCTATAATAGAGGAGTTGTAGAAAAAATAAGGAAATATTGTGAAAATTTTGGGGAATATCAGATTGTCATCTGGCTACACTGATTTCAACAGCGCAGCGTTCAGATAGAGCTCTCTGTAGCGAGTCGCAGTTTGGGCGATAAATACCAGTACACGATTTATTGTATGACTAGCTACTCGCCTCGGTTCCGCACGGGTGTACATGTATATATAAACCTTCCTCTTGAATCACTCTATCTATTAAAAAAAACCGGTTGAAAATCCATTGCGTTGTTTTAAAGATTGAAATATAGGGACAGACAGCGACAGCGACTTTGTTTTATACTATGTAATGATAATGATAACAGCATCTCTGTAATATTGAAGGTTTCCAATGTCATATATTTTATAGTACAGGGGACAAACGAGATTGCGGCTCACCTGACAATACGTGGTGCTCGCCCATGAGCATGTGCCTACACTTGTAATATTTCTGTCAACACTTGAGACCCTTCCACTAGTTTAGTCTCCACTAACA